CCCATTCTACTTTCTGTCTCTATGAATTTGACTGCTCTAAGTACTTCATGTAAGTGGAATCACATGGCATTTGTCCTTTTGTGACTGGCTTAGTTCACTTAGCATAATTTCCTCAAGATTCATCCACATTGTAGCATGTAACCGTTTCGTTCCTTTTTAAGGCTGAGTAATATTCCATTGTATGTATATACCATATTTTTTCCTCAGTTCACCATCAATGGACAACTGGTTTGCTTCCACCTTTTGGCTATTGCAAATATTGCTGTTGTGATCGTGGTTTGTAAATGTCTTTGCTTGCTTTCAATTCTTCCCTCCAATCTTTGTTATTTCCTTTCTTCAGTTTGCCTTAGATTTAGTTTGCTCTTTTGCTAGTTTCTTAAGGTGGAAGGTTAAATTATTGATTTTATATCCCTTCCTTCCTTCCTGCCTGCCTGCCTACCTGCCTTCCTCTTTTTATGGAAACAGGATCCCACTCTGTCACCAAGGCCAGAGTGCAGTGATGTGATCACAACTCATTGAAGACTCAAACTCCTGGGCTCAAGCAATCCTCCCATCTGATCCTCCACAAGCGCTGGGATTACAAGCATGAGCCATTGTGCCTGGCACCTTCTCCTTTTCTAATGTAGATGATTACAGCTATGCATTTTTTTCTGAGACCCATCCCATAAGTTTTGGTATATTGTGTCTTATTTTCATTTATCACAGGGTAGTTTTTGTATTCCCCTTGCAATTTCCTTTTTGACTTGCTGGCTGTTTAGGAGTGTGTTGTTTAATATTCACATATTTGTGTGCTTCCCAAATATCTTTTAATGATGTCTGACCTTATTCCATTGTGGTCATAGAAATTTTATATTATATTAATCCTTCTAAATGTCTTGCAGTTTGTTTTAGAACCCAGCGTTATGAGTTATTGTGGAGAACATTTTGTGTGCATTTGAGAGAAATGTATTCTGCTGTTGTTTGGTGGAGTGTTTTATAGATGTCTGTTAGGTCTCATTGGTTCACAGTGATGTCTGTGTCTTCTTTTGCTTTGTTGATATTCTGCCTAGTTCTTTTATTATTATTTTAAGTGGGGGCTATTTAAGTCTTCAGAAATTATTGTTTGTCTATTTCTTTCTTCAATTCTGTCAGTTTTTGCTTCGTGCATTTGGGTGTTCTATTATTAGGTGTACCTATGTTTATAGTTGTTGTATCTTCTTGATGGATTAATCCTTTTATCATTATAAAATGTTCTTTATCTCTAGTAAACTTTTTTGTTTTAAAGTATGTTTTGTCTGATATTAATATACCTAGCTTTCTAATAGTTGCTGATTACATGACAGATATTTTCCCATCCTTTTATGTTCAATCTATTCATATATTTGAGTTTAAAATGCATCGCCTATAGATAGCATATAATTGGATCTTGTTTTTTGTCATCCAATCTGAAAATCCTTGCCTTTTGATTGGATTGTTTAACCCACTCATATTTAATGCTATTTTTGATATAGTTAGAATCAGGTCTGCCATTTGCCTTCTAAATTACTCTTGTCTTTTTTATTTCTCTATTCCTTCTAAAGAAGAATACAATAAATTGCTTTCTTTTGCATTAATTTTCTAAGTAACGTTTTAATTTCTTTAATATTTCTTTCACTATGTTTTTGAGTTATTTTCTTAGGGTTGCTCCAGGGTTTGTCTTATACATTGTGTCTTACCAGAACGCCTCAGATTTATGACTGAAATCCCGTGAGATGCAGAAATGGTCCTCCTGCCTAGCTCTGTTCGCTCCTCATTTTGGCTTTCGGCAGCTTTGCTATACTACGTCTGTTTTCGCATCCCTTTATGTTTATCCTGCTTAAGGTCTGTTGAACCACTTAGATGCATTGTTTAAATTTTTTCATCAGATTTGGGAAGTTTTCAGCCATGATTTCTTCAAGTATTTTTCTGCTCCTTTATCTCCTCTCCTTCTGTGGGATGATTTTTAAATGATCTAAATGCTTTAAAAATCTTTAATCATCTAACTGGGAGTAGAATGTGCAGAACCCTAGGCCAACCCTGTCTAGGTCCTGAAGCTGCCCATGGTGCCCCAGGGGTCTAGAAGGGTGACAGTGAAAGTGAGCTTAAAGCATTCACTGCCACAGGAGCCAAAGGTTGGTCACTTATTAGTTGTCCCTTTCTCACTTTCATAGTACGATAGAGGTGTCCGAGCTCGGCTCATCAGACTGATGGGGCCTCTCACATATCCCCAGGGCAGTGGGAGGGGGATGGGCACTGGCAGGAAGAATGGGAACCCCCAAAACAGAGGAAGAAGGTGCTGCAAGCCAGTACTGAATGTCACCAAAGGGCAGGCCTTCCTTGGGGGGTAAGGCTGTGCCTAGGCCGTGCTCCACCTCCAGCCAATGTCAGCGCCGAACCAAGAAGGATTAGGACTCAAGAGTGTCTATCATTTGCTTCTTGAAAAAACACCTGCTGTTGTCCCCATGCAGTGTCCCAGCCATCCAACCTAAGGGTAATGGTAATATGATACCCCATACAATAGCAATACCCTGTAAGCACTGTGTTTAGCACTGAGTTCCACTGAGTTTAGGATGTTGTATGTGTTAGCTAATTTAATGCTGTCAAAAATTCAGTAGGTTCTATACTGATCTCCAGTTGCCAGATGATAAAACTGACACCCAGAGAAGTTAAGTGACTTGCCCAAGGCCACCCAGCTAGTGGTGAATATCAAAGCTGGAATGGGAACTCAGGTGCTCCTGATTCTAATGCACGTGCTTTTAAAACATCATCCTGCATCAACCTTGGCATCAAGACTTTCATCTCCACTGTCATTCCCAGAAAGTCAGGGTTCTTTAAAAAGAGAGATGATTGGAAGTAGAGAGGGACCATGACAATGTGGGCAGAAGCCATCCCAGGCCCGGTCTGGCCAAGTTGGTGTGCCTGGTAGTTTCACCACCAGTCCACCGTCAGGGTGTCTGCTGCCCCGGTGTAGTCAGGTAGGTCAGGAGTGGGTTGGGCTTGCCAGCTCTGGTGGCAACAGAAAACCCACTGACTGCAGGGAGACGTGCTGATATCTGCTGGGCCTGCCTGCAGGGTTGCCTGGTATCCCGTGTTGGCCTCTGCACTGGTCAGGACTGAGCAGCAGTGTCTTGCTCTGAGCCAGCTGCACTTGCCTGCAGGGGTCTGTGGCAGGGGGCCTGGCACAGTGCCACATCTGTGCCCAGGACACACAGTCTATCCAGGACAGAGCAGGGCTCAGGACATGCTCTTGTCACCCAACCATTCCTGAGAGCCTCTTGTGTGCCAGGCCTGTGCTAGATAAGGCCCTTCGCCTGTCCTCAGTGGGACAGATAGAGTGTTGGCCACTCCGGGGTACCAAGGCTGTGGTGAGCCCAGCCCTGTGTGCCAGCCCAGCTCAGCCTGGAGCTTCGTGGGAGGCCTCAGAGAGGAGGAGCTTGGATTTGGAGTGGAGAAGGCTTCCAAGCAAGCGTGTAAATAACAGGAATATGTTTTCCGGGTACTGCGAGCCCTGGGCCACAGCAGGCGCTCCTGGGGGAGGAGCGGGGGTGTGGTTGGAACAGGTGATGAAGGGCTTGCGTGCCAGGCTGCACAAACTTGGACTTTATCTGGAGGCCAGGGAGAAGGGTTTTAGGTGACATGCTTAGATTGGCATTTTGAAAGATCCTGTTAGTAGCAGGTTGGAGGCCGGGCTGAGGAGGCAAGAGTGCTAAGGAAGCCAGCCCCTGAGCATGGTTAGGGGCTGATAAGACTGGACACAAGACAGCAGTGAGCAGAGGCTGAAGGGGAGGGAACGGATTCTGGAGACTATAGAAAAGTGCCATCTGTAGGGCCTGGTGCCCAGTGACGGGGAGAGGAGCAGGTGGCAAGGAGGGCTACCAGATCTTTAGGGTAGCTGCCTGGACAAAGGGCTGCCACCTGAGATACAAATAAACATGCAGGAACAGGTAGACTCGCCTTCATTTATCCATTCTGCAGTCATTTATTTAACGTCTACTATGTGTCAGATGCGTAGCAGGCATTAGAGGACAACACAGTGAGCAAAACAGGAAAGGCTCCCTCTGTCTAGGGACTTACGTTTCAGATGGTGAAGTCAGGCAGTAAGTACAAATCAGTGAGAACACAGGGAAATATCAGATCAGATGAAGAACACAGAAGAGTGCTTCTCTGCGAACACCAGGCTGCCTTCTCCATGAGAAGCAGTAGTTAGTAGCACATGTAGGTCCATGATACTTTTAGGGTCTACAGATATGTTTCTTTTTCATTTTTTGAGATGGAGTCTTGCTCTGTTACCCAAGCTGGAGTACAATGGTGCGATTTTGGCTCACTGTAACCTCCACCTTTAGGGTTCAAGTGATTTTCCTGCCTCAGCATCCCCAGTAGCTGGGATTACAGGCATCCGCTACCACACTCAGTTGATTTTTATATTTTTAGTAGAGACGGGGTTTCACCATGTTGGCTGGACTGGTCTTGAACTCCTGACCTCAAGTGACCTGCCTACCTCGGCCTCCCAAAGTGCTGGAATTACAGGCGTGAGCAACTGCACTCAGCCACAGATATGCTTCTATTTCTGTTTATTTTATAAACAGAAGAGAAAATGAGTATAATAATGAATATATAATTGTGAACTCAGCCTGGAGATTTGTGTTTACACCAATGCAGTCAGAATATATATATATATATATAGATAGATATAGATATAGATATATTTTTTTTTTTTGAGATGGAATCTCACTCTGTCACCCAGGCTGGAGTCCAGTGGCACAATTTCAGCTCACTGCAACCTCTGCCTCCCAGGTTCAAGTATTCTCCTGCCTCAGCCTCCTGAGTAACTGGGATTACAGACATGCACCACCACTACCAGCTAATTTTTGTATTTTTAGTAGAGACAGGGTTTCACCACATTGACCAGGCTGGTCTCAAACTCCTGACCTCGAGTGATCTGCCTACCTTGGCCTTCCAAAGTGTTAGAAATATAGGCGTGAGCCATCACACACAGCCAGAAAATATAATTTTTAATAGGTTTTGTGCAGAAAGGGGCCACAAAAGCAAAAGTGCCTAGCATCCACAGAAGTCATAATGCAGCCCTGGAGGGTGTCTGGGGGCAGCTTTCTATTGGGTGGCCACCGTGGGTCTCTCTGATGACAGGACATGAGGACTCCAGATACTACCACTCCACTAAAGCTCAGGCAGGGTGAGGGTCCAGATGTTGATGTGGGCAATGCCTTGTTGAGGTCAAAGGACACAGCCTTGAATTTTTAATATGAAGACCAGAGTTCAAATTCTAGCTCTGCCATTTAGCTGCTGTGCAACCTTGGGCAAGTTGCCTAACCTCTCTGGGCCATCTTTTCCTATCTGTGATTTGAGGTTGGTGCCTTGATGATGTACTCAGTACCACTGTAGAAATTGAGCCTGGGGTAGTGGTGGGGGCTATGTGCCTTTTCCTAAGCTCTCCCTTTGCCCTTCACTGCTGTCAGGCCCAGCCACACCCAGCCTGGCAGCCACCCTTCAGGTGCTGACCTGGGAGCAGAAGCTCTCTAGAACCCGTGTCCATCACTTCTGAGACATTGTTGGGGTTACTAGTTACTCCTTTGAGGAGAGCTGAGGGGTATTGTCACCTGTGCCTCTTGTGTCCAGCTACGAACCAGACACCAAGAGAGGTCTGTGAGGGCCTGAGGGGAACTGCCATTCCTGAGTCAGCATGCCCAGGGCTGCTAATGAAATCCAGATGTCAGACAGAAAACAATCATCGCCCCCACCCATCTGGCAGCTCGGGTTTCTTGGAGATTGCAAAAGAAGAAGAAAAATAGAGCCCAGAGAGAATGGAATCCTAGAACAGCTGAGATCTTAGGGGCGGGATGTAAATAGTTTCAGGGTCTTGCTGGGGAAAAGGGCAGGAGACAAGGGAAAGAGGGGGCTAGCCCAGCCCCCCTTCTCTCTCACCCAGGTCTCTGCAGCCCTCGAGGACCCCAGCCCCCTCAGCCCTCTTCAGGCCAGAGCAGCCTGGTTTTTGAGGGGAGTGGGCTGTTGGAGGCAGCAGGCAGGGCCAAGGCCCCCAGCCCATGTCTGACCCTTGCCTGTGATGTCCAACCCCTCATTCCAGCCCTGACCTCACTGCAGGTCTGGGTGTCCTCTGGGGCCAGAGTGGCTAGAGCCCAGAAAGGCAACAGGCTAAGCAGGACGGAGGCTAGGCAGAATTTTCCCTCCAGAACCTTGTGGGCTGACTAGAAGCTTCTCAGAGCCCCAGAGCTGGGCGGCATAGGGAGAGAGGATGACAGGTATGGTGAGCCAGTAGGGGACCTAGCCCCTTCCTCCCACCAGGGCATCCTCGTACACGTCCACCTCACATGTTAGTGCACATGCAAGGGAAAGGACTGCCAGTCACATAAAATGTATAGAAGGCTGGCGCGGTGGCTCACGCCTGTAACCCCAGCACTTTGTGAGGCAGAGGTGAGCAGATCACCTGAGGCCAGGAGTTTGAGACCAGCCTGGCAAACATGGTAAAACCCCGTCTCTACTAAAAATGCAAAAAAAATTAGCCGGGTGTGGTGGCGCACACCTGTGATCCCAGCTACTAGGGAGGCTGAAGCAGGAGGGTCGCTTGAACTCAGGAGGTGAAGGTTGCAGTGAGCTGAGATTGCGCCACTACACTCCAGCCTGGGCAACAAGAGCAAAAAACTCCGTCTTAAATAAATAAATAAATTGCATAGAGGGAGGGAGGAAGAGAGGGAGGGGCAGAAAGAGAACACCACAGACAAAAAGCCCTTTTAATGTTAGACAGCGGAATTAGCAAAGTGTTATACTGCCACCCACTACTCATTAGCAAGCATCCAGAAGGAAGGGAGGGAGGGAAGGAAAAGAAGGAAGGGAAGAGAAGGGAGGGAGGGAGGAAGAGGGAGAAGAGGGAGGACAGACAGCATCATTCTGTGTTCCCATTGAGGAACGCCTGGGCCCAGGGCAGGTGGCATAGCAGGGGATGGGTGCTGCAGGTAGCCTTTCAGGGGGTTCTGGAGCCTGGGCTGGCTGGCCGAGGGGCCTCGGCTGAGGTTCTTCCAGCACTTGGCACAGAACCTGGAATGTCGTGAGCACTCGGAGAATGTCAGCTGGGATGGGTGTTGCTGGGGGTGTCATGTCTGCTGTTTGGCAGGTGGTGTCTTTGGCACAGTTGCTGACTTTAGGGTAGTGCCCCAAACCCAGCATCCGGGCCTCAAGGCTCTCCTTCCTCCCCTGCCAAAGCCCCCTCCTTGCAGTGATGAGCCTTCGAGCACAGCCCTGAAGCCAGCCTGCCTGCATTCTACCCCAGTGCCACCTGGTAGCAGCAGTGCTGTGTGCCTTCAGGAAAAATTCACTCAGTCTTTCTAGGCCTCAGTTTCCTCCTGTGTAAAATGACTGTACTAAGACATACTACTTCATGGGATGTTGTGAACCTGAGTTATTTTGTCTGACGTGTTTATAAGAGTGCCTGGCACCTTGCTTGCACTGCAAGTAGGACTCTGTTAATTACTGTCATTATGATTATTATTATTTTTGAGACAGTCTTGCTCTGTCACCCAGTCTGGAGTGCAGTGGCATGATCTCGACTCACTGCAGCCTCCACTTCCTGAGTTCAAGCGATTCTCCTGCCTCCTGAGTAGTTGGGACTACAGATGTGCACCACCACACTTGGCTGATTTTTGTACTTTTAGTAGAGACAGGGTTTTGCCATGTTGGCCAGGCTGGTCTCAAACTCCTGGCCTCATGTGATCCACCTGCCTCGGCCTCCCAAAGTGCTGGAATTACAGGCATAAGCTGCCAAGCCCAGGCTACTGTCATTATTATTATGCCTCAACTCCACTGTTTCAAACTCGCTTGAGACATGCCAGGGGTCGAAGAGACTGCTTCAGCACTGTGAGGATTCATAGAAGTGGCTGGAGTCCTCCCTTTCCACCCTCACCCCCTAAGAGAGGGGCTGCATCTGGGAAGAGCCACAGGGAGGCCAAGTGACAAGACTGTTTTCTCAGGGTCTTGGGAGGGGACAGGGGAAATCTAAGATGACTTTGGCTTCAGGGACTGAGTCCTGGAGACTTTCCTGTGCCCAGGATGGATGTTGTGGGAGGAGGAGTGATGAGGCACAACTGGATGGGGCACAGCTGGAAGGTGTGGGAGGAGGGTGATGAGACACAGCTGGAAGGTGTTGGAGGAGGGTGATGAGGTACAACTGGAAGGTGTGGGAAGAAGTGATGGGGCACAGCTGGAAGGTGTGGGAGGAGGGTGATGAGGCACAGCTGCAAGGTGTGGGAGGAGGGTGATGAGGCACAGCTGGAAGGCATGGGAGGAGGGTGATGAGGCACAGCTGGAAGGTGTGGGAGGAGGGTGATGTGGCACAGCTGGAAGATGTGAAAGGGTGATAAGTCACAGCTGAAAGGGGTGGGAGGAGGTGATGAGACACAGCTGGAAGGTGTGGGAGGAGGTGGAGACACAGCTGGAAGGTGTGGGAAAAGGGTGATGAGGCACAGCTGGAAGGTGTGGGAGGAGGTGGAGACACAGCTGGAAGGTGTGGGAGGAGGGTGATGGGGCACAGCTGGAAGGTGTGGGAGGAGAGTGATGGGGCACAGCTGGAAGGTGTGGGAGGAGGTGCGGGGGCACAGCTGGAAGGTGTGGGAGGAGGGTGATAGGGCACAGCTCGAAGGTGTGGGAGGAGGTGATGAGGCACAGCTGGAAGGTATGGAAGGAGGGTGATGAGACACAGCTGGAAGGTGTGGGAGGAGGTGATGAGGCACAGCTGGAAGGCATGGGAAGAGGGTGATGAGGCACAGCTGGAAGGTGTGGGAGGAGGTGATGAGGCACAGCTGGAAGGCGTGGGAGGAGGGTGATGAGGCACAGCTGGAAGGTGTGGGGGAGAGTGATGAACAGCTGGACGGTGTGGGAGGGGTGATGAGGCACAGCTGGAAGGTGTGGGAGGAGGTGATGGGGCACAGCTGGAAGGTGTGGGAGGAGGGTGATGAGGCACAGCTAGAATGTGCCCAGTGCCACCTGTCAGTTTTCCTCTGGCTCAGGGAAGATGAATCTTTCTCCACATGCTGGCCCTTTCACAGACAAATGGGAGCAGCTGCTGGGGGTGGGGCAGGAGTGAGGGATTGGAGGGGTGGGTCCTGGAGTGTGAGGGTTCACAGGAAGCTACTTTTACATCCTTCCTGCTGCCTCTTGCCTGGCAGGAAAGAGCCTGGGAGGGCCAGTTTCACATCCTCAGCTGCCAGTTCTGCTTTTGGAAGAATCGCAGATGATGATTAGGAGTCCCAGGAATCTTGATGTGTCAGTGGCCTCCCCTCCCCAGCCCTCTGCTTCCGAGCCTTAGGGACAGAGATGTTGGCAGAGCTTGGGAGCCAGGACCAGTCCTGGTCTTGAACTACCTGCATGGCCTAGTGAATGGAACACTGCAGCACAGCAAGTGCATCCTTAAGCTGAATAGCTCCAAGTGTCACCTCCTTCATGCAGCCCTCTCTGATTTCTCCTTTTCGCCAAGTTCAGAGGAACTGGCCTCCTCTGAAGGCCAGTAAGACTCATTCACTCATTCACTCACTTATTTAGTCCTCACCTGCCAAGGGCCTCCAGTGTGCTAGCCCTTTGGCCTGCCCCTCTCCCGCGGCTAACTTGTCTTGGAATAACTCAAGTGCCCTTTACTGTGAAGGCCCTGGGGAAGGTTCTAGCTTGGATATCCCTTGGTTCCTCAACCTCAGTAAGAACAGGAGAGCCCCAGGTAGCAGAGTCTCACTGAGCTAGACTCAGAGTTCATTTCTGCTCTTTCCCAGCTGTGTGTCCTTCGCCATGTTACCCAACTTCTCCCAGGCATCTGTAAAATGGCTTCACCATCCTTGCAGGGCATGTGGGGAAAGCGTCTGACACAGGGCCTGGCTTCCCACAAGCAGTAAGTGGCAGCCTTCACTGTTGGGGCTTCTGGAGCCAGATCTGTCTTCATTTGTAAACTGAGGCTCATGTACCTGATGCGAGGGTTGGTGTGAGGGAGATGAGAAGCAGCCTGGATGTCTGGGAAGCAACACGCACCGGACCCCTCTCCTCCTCCCTGACCCACCCCTGCAGCTGCTTAATCACAGGCACGCACATGCACACATGTGCACGCATGCAAACGTGCATGCATGCACACACCCTGGGCTCTCCAGCCTCAAGGCCTTGCTCACACTGTCCCCGAGCTGCAATGCCTTCCCCAAATCTCTTCCCTCCTATCCCCCTTTCAGAGGCCAGCTTGAGCCCACCTCTCTCAGGGAGTCTTCCCTAACCATCCCAGCCTTCAGGGCTCTTCTCTGTGAACTCCAACTAGCAGGACAGCACCCCCACACCAGAACCTGCTTTTAAGGCCCTCAAGAGGTAAGAAATCTCAGCCAGGTTTCTCACCATTCCCCCATCCCCATCTGGCCCCTAAGGATGGAGAATGCCCGTCTTTGGATGGGCTTCACTCTGCCCTGCCCTACCTGGAATGTCTATTCCTGCCCACCCCGGGCCTTTGACCTCTCTGCTCAGCCTTCTCCTCCCCACTACACCTGTGCCATGGCCTTAGCCAGTGACTCGCTCTCATCTCGCCCAGGTTTAGCCCAAACGCGTCCTCTTCCATGGTGCAGCCCCCTGTGCCCCTCTGTGCCCCTTGGGCTGCTTCTAGCCCTGTGCTCCTGCTCTGTCTTGCTGAGCCTTGCCTAGCCCAGGGCCGATCCTGGCACAAGCCTATCTTCTACTTCCCGAGGCCCCTTCCCAGGCAGGGTCTGTGTCTGCCTGGCTGGCAGAGGGAGCACGGCCTTGGAGTCAGAAGGCCCAAGCTCTCATCCCAGGGCTGTCACTCAGTAGCTGTTCAACATTGGCCAAGTTGACCTTGACCTTGGGTCCCCACACCCCCGTGCCTGAGGTGGCATCAGCCATGAAGTCTGTCTCTCAGGGCTTCTGTGAGATCCACAGGTGGCTGGGCAGGCGAACGCACTTTGAGAACTGTGACGTTGTACCATTTGCTCCACTGCCCAGCAGGCAGCCATGTTTGCTGACATGACTGGAGGTGTGCGAGTGAGGGTCCTGAGGCTTTGGCGGCTGCTGTGAGCCAATCCCCGCCTCGGCTGCCGTGGGGTCTTGGAGGCAGATTTGCGACGGCAGCATTTTCCCTTTCCACTGTGTCTGGGGTGGCTGTCCAGGGTGGAGCCTGTGTTGGGTGCCTCCTGCACCCAGTGGCTTTGTGTGGAGTGGGAGGTGGCCCAGCTGGGGCAAGTTGGCAGGTCCCAGCCTGTGGGTTAGAGGCCTTGGCACCACTAATCTGGCCTGACTTGGAGAGTCACACAGCCCCTGGCCTGACACATAGTCCCTCCCACCCATTCCAAGCTCGGGCCTCAGAGAAATGGGGCAGCAGGTGCAGGGAAGAAATGTGCATGGAACGGGGGTGAGGAGCCCAGGGATACCAGACCTCCCTTGTGCCTGGCCCACAGGGTGCCTTCATCTCATTTGCTGGCTGGGTTCTCACACTCACCTGGATGTCATCTGTGGCCCACATGCCCACTCTTCTTTCTTGATCGGTCTCTCTCTCATCCTTTTTTTCTTCTTTTCTTTTGTAACAGATGACATAACTTGCCCCTGGTCCCACAGCTGGTTAGGATCAGGCCAAGTCAGTCTGACCTCAGGCCCTGCTTTCCCACTGCTCCCTCTGCCCACAAGAACAGAGGGGGTCTGTCCTCTAGGACATGCTGAGCTCTGGCCCTGGCAGAAATCAGGCTGCGGGAGGCACTGTGAACCCAGGTTTTCCTCCCTGCTGGGCTTCCTCCAGGTTCCCTGGCTTTGTGGGAGCTCTGGGTCTCTCCCCCACATGTTGGGGTGATGGTGAGGTAGAGGGGTGTCCCCAGGGCGGTAGGCATGATGACAAGTGGTAAAACCCAACAGAGGCCCATGCTCCTCCACACCTTCCTGGGGGGATTCTGTGAAGCTCAAACAGGGTCTTGTGTCCCCACCTCCTGCAGGCCCTCTGAGCCCTCCCCATGCGTCAGTCCTGCCTCTATGTTCCCAAAACACCCTGCACAATCAGCTTAGTGTTTTGCATTCTCCTTTGACTGTGATCTCGGGGATGGGGGAAGGCTGGCAGAAAATCACTTAGCACGGCGCCGGGCACATAGTGAGTGCTCAGCAGGTGTGAGCCATTGCGTTGCTGTGGCTTCAGCGCTCCATCGGCAGTGTCTGCCACGGTGCACACTCTGAGTGGTGCCCTGGTCATCAGGGAGATATATTAACAGCACAGCAGCTACATGCACAGGGAGCACTCACTGTGTTCCGGGCACTGCTCCGAGCACTTTTCACCCATTGACTCATTTCATCTCTTCATGGCCTTTGTGCTGGACACTCTTCTTATCCCCATTGTGCAGAGGAGGAAACTGAAGCACAGAGAGGGTAAGTGACTTGCCCAGGGTCACACAGCTTGGATGTGTTTCCCAGTAGTCTTGCCTCAGAGACTGTGCTGTCATAAATATGTGCAGAGGAAAGGAAGAAATGGACAAGACTCAGGATGTGGAGGAGGAAAGAAAGGCAGGGAACTCATGTTGACTGAGCATCCTCCACATACCAGGGATGGTGCATGTCATGGATGTCTTCAGAGACATCAGGGGATTCGCTCAGGGTGACATAGGAGCCAAGGGCATGGCTGGGATTTGAGACCTGGCTGATTTCCAATCCCTTCTTCCCCATCCTATCCCACCAGCTCAGGCCACAGGGAGCCAGCACAGTTCATCAAGGACCCACTAGGTACCCCAGCAGCCTCAGACCACGTAGTCGAGTTAGAGGCAGGACAAGGAGTCGCTCAGTGAGGCCACTCATTACCAAGGCGTTTGGTTCTAACGTGCCATAGAGGAGGAGTTTAGACAAAGGAGCAGAGCCAAGTGGGTGACCTTGAATAAGCCCACTGCCCTTGCCACCCCTCAGTTTCCCCTTCTGTCCCTCAGGGCTGCTGTGTAGGTTTCATAAGCTAACAAAGCTGGAAATGACGAAACCCAAGTTGAACAAAAGTTGCCTAAAAGTGTGGTCAGTGGACTGGCAGCAGTGGCAGTACCTGGAGCTTATCAGAAATGCACATTCCCGGGCCTCAGGGCCTGCCACTGTCCTGCTGGGTCAGAATCTGCATTCTCACAAGCTGCCCCCATCGCCCATGGGAAACTCTGGTCTGGGAATTTCTAGCTTCCCAGTTCCCCATTCCTGGAGGCTGCCTCTTGGGCCTTCTCTTCATAGCCTACAAGGGGTTCTTGGCTGGAAATTCCCATCTCATTGGAGGCAACGCCGTGGCCCAGCCAGACCCCTGTCCTCCTTAACTGCTTAGGAGTCGTGAGTGCAACAGGGTTCAGCTGAAGCCGGGCAGAAGCTCTGACAGCCTCTGTCCCTCCAGCAACCTCTGATGAGACCAACCGCATTTGTTGGGAATGAAACTCCCACCAGAATCAGCAAGACCTGCCAGACCTGGGGAGGAGGGAGGGGGTACCCTCAGCCTGGGCTCAGGAGGGCTAGGGGTGTCTTCTGAACAAGCGAAGGGCGTTTGTACCAGATAGTTTCCATCTTCACACAGGAGGGCTAAAGGTTGAGAGCACAGTTGGAATGTTCCAGGTTAGAAATAAGCAACGTCCCAACTGATCAGGAGCAAGCCAGCCAAGGACATTGAAGGCTCCATCCCCTTAAACGTGTAGCCAGTGTGTGTGAGGTCGGGAGGCAGAACTGGAACGGATTCCCAGAGGTCCTCTGCCCCACATCCTGCCCTGAAACCATTTTGGACTCATCTAAGGTCACACAGCAAGGAGCCCCGGCTTCTGATTCTCTGTGCCTGGGGCCTGTCTTCATGTCAGGCCTCCCTGGAGGCTGGGGAATGACCTTGGTGACCTTAGTAACCTCTCTTGAAGCAGCCCGGAGGTTTGAGGCTGTAGGTGGGAGGACGGGAGGGGCTGGCTTTGTGAGCCTAGCAACTCTGTGTGTCTCACTCTGGCTTAGCCTTCGTGGTACTCAAGATCATTAGGAATACCCCAGGGACAGAAGTCCTCTGAGACAGATGCAGCGAGTTAGGGCCAGGAAACCTGGAGCCCAAGGGGAATAGAGGAAGCAAGCAGAGGCTTGGGAGGCCTGAGGTGGGTGAAGAGGCTGGGGACCAGCACTGTGTATCCCTGGGCTGGTTACTTGCAGTCTCTCTTTCCCAGTGTGTAATGTGGAGGAGAGGTTAGACAAGATCGGTGATTCCACACTGGGGCTTCGCATTAGAACCAACTGAGTTTGTTTGTTTTGGTTGGGCTTTTGGTGCTAGAAATTCGGGTTCAGTAGATCCAGGGTGGGCCTGGCCACAGGCATTTTCCCAGCTCCCCAGGTGATTCTGACATGCAGCTGGGCAAAAGCACCATAACCAGGTCTGAAATGGCGGGCTGCTCTGGCAGACGTGGGGGTTGCAGGTGCTCATAACCACAGTTACCATTCTGAAGTCCTAGAAATGCAAGATTACAGGGTTCCAGGAGACTCCGAAATGAACATTGCAGAGGTTCCTGCTTCTAACACTGTCAGATGTTCAGTCCCAGATTCCCTAGATCATATGACTGCAGCGTTATTATTGTGGGAAGCGAGGCTTCCCAGGACAGAGGAGTCTGACACTTACCTGTTCTGGTTTTGCAGCTTTAAGAGCTTGAGACTCTCTAATAATTCTATATACCTAAAGTACGTGCTTCTGAAACCTTCCACGTGTTTCTGCATTCCAGCATGCGGGTATTATTCCTCTCTGAAATGAAGACTCTCCATGTCTGTAATTCTCACATTTTCATTATCCCAAATTCTAGAGACTCCAAGAACTTAAGCTATTGTGGCAGTAATATTTCTTAAATTCTGAATTCAGCAGCTCTGTGACCTGTCATTCCATCTGGGCAGTTGGCTGCCAAGGCTTGGGGCCTGGCTTTTGTCTCCCTGAGACAAGGTGGTGATTGTATAAGCCTGGATGCATGCCCCCTCACCTCCTTGGCCTGGAGGCCTGTCTTAGGGGAAGAGGGGAGGGTGGGGAGAGCAGAGACCCCACAGAGCTCTCACTTCTTTGGCTCTTCCTCCAACACTGGCTGTACAGGAGTGGAAGGTAGAGAGAGTGTGAGGGGCATATGTGACCGTGCGGCAAGGAGGGCAGTGGGTGGTCATGTAGCCGTGTCCCCAGATCACTTCTTGCATTCTCCCATCTTACAGCAAAGCTGTCAGTTCTGTGTCAGATTGGCCCAGACATTAGAGGCTATCACACCCAAAGCACCTCCTTACACTTTCTCCCTCTCTCCCTCTCTCTCGCTCTCACACACACACATGCACACACACACACACGCTCGCGCAAACACACACACACATGCACATGCACATATATGCCTTTTCCAGATAGGGAAACTGAGGCCCAGAAGGAGGAGGTGACATGCCTGACAGAGCTGGCGTCCAAACCCAGGACCCTGAACTCCCAGCTGTCATTGTATGGTCCTTTCCAGCTAGTCCAGACCAGGTCTGGCTTTCTGCACAGAACCATCAGCTTTCTATAGCCAATCTTTGGGTCCCTCCAAGGGGACAGGGGACCAGTCCTGCCACTCAGGATTACACATTTAAAGCCTGTAGCCTGGCAGGTTTCAACAGGCCCAGGAGAGGCTCCCCCTGCCCCTGCATGACCTCCTGGCCATTTCCTGCCTGCCTGACCACAGTCTTCCGTTCCACTCCCCCAGGACGGGTGCCCACCTTGTGCCAGTACACATCAGGCTCAGAGGCCAGGAGGCAGAGGCTGGGCTGAAGAGTCAGGCATGGGGAGGGTTCCCTCCACTCACTCACTGTGTGTCCTTGAGAAAGTTCCTCCACCTCTCCGGGCCTCTCCATGCTGGGACCAGTGGATGGTAACTCACAGAGTTACTGCGAGGATTAAATGAGACCCCAGGGGAAACCCTGGCATGCTAGGAGGGCAGGGGCAGAGGCTGGTCACATCCAACGCTCTCACTCAGCACTGAATCCATTTCCGACCAGCGGCTTGTGTTTGTTGAAGGTAGCTGGGTAGACTTCCTTGTAATCCTTCAGAGGGTAAAATGATGGATTTCAGACTCTCCTGGGTTTTCAGAAGGTTGGCAGGTAGAGGAGAAAGAGTCTAAAGGCCTTAGACACCTGAGATTTAGGCAGGTATCCATATAGTGGTGATGGTGATTGGTGATGGTGATGGTGGTGATGGTGATGGTGATGGTGATGGTGATGGTGATGGTGATGATGGTGATGGTGATGGTGATGGTGATGGTGATGGTGATGATGGTGATGGTGATGGTGGCTATTGTTAACTGAATTCCAGCCATGTGCTTGGCACTCATGAGCTCCTTAAAGCTTTTTGACTGGCTCCCAATTGATCTTATTATCCCTACTCAGGGAAACTGAGCCTCAGAGCATTTTAGAAACTTCTCCAAGCTGTTGCTGCCAGTAATGACTAAGTCGAGATTTGAACCCAGGTCTCCAGGACCACACAGCCAGAGCTCTCTTTCAGTGCATACTCAGCTAGAAGAGGGGATGCAGGGCCACATGATGGATGGTGGCATCTCCCTATGTGGCTGCAGGCAGTCCGTGGCCTCGGAAATAGAAAGACATTTTCTAGAAGAGATGAGAGTGGTTGCATGTTCTCCTCCTTAGGTGGGATCCTCCCTATTTTCCATGTGGCTATTTTTATCACTTTTAGAAATCTAGAGCTGCCTGTGGCTGCCCAGCCTCTGAAGATGGGTATAGAGCACCAGGCTCTGCATGGCCACCCACACCGTGTACATACACGGGTCTGTTAAGGGGCAAGGGTGCACACGGGCATGTCTGCCCCTCACCGATACACCTATGCACACTCGCAGAGGCCAGCCCAGGGGACCCGGGAGCTTAGCAGGAAGCTCCAGAGCTACCTCCCTTGGGATTCTGCAGCCGTGGCTCTGCCTCGACACTCGCTTCCTTGTCAGTTGACTTAAAACAGAGCTGGCAGGTCATGCCATGGTGCATGCCACTCGCTCCTTGTGTGCATGCATGCACGTGTGTATGTGAGGCTGCAGACCTGTGCCCACCCAGGCCCAGTTCAGGGCACAGGCTCAGTGCCCCTGTGGAGGTGGAACAGGAAAGTCCTTGCTCCAGGGCTTCCACAAGCCAAGACTCCCCACGTGGTTCCTCCCACTCCCGAGATTCTGGCCTTCTGGGCTACTGGGAGCCAGGGAAGGGCAGGAGAGACAGCCAGGGTCCTGTAAGGGGCACATGTGGGGAGCTCCAGGGACTGGGGACAGTGGACTTGCTTGGGGTCCTGCCCTGGCACAGCAGGCCTCTGGGGCTGAGAAAGCTCAGAGTGGTATGGCAGGCTCCCAGGGCTGAGCATGGCAGCTCCAGGAGGGGCCAGAGTGCCTTCTGGAAGTCTCCTGACCCTTCTTCTATCCCCACAGTTGCTTCACACTCTCCCCTGCACTGGCCTGAGATCCCAGCAGGCCTGAGCTTGGCCAGCCTCATGGGCTGTGTGGGCTGGAGTCACCTGGCCTCAGCTTCCTCCTCTGGAAAGTGCAGGGCCTGTGGGCAGTGGAACGAGACCTTGGCAGTCCTGCTCTCTGCTCATCACTTTGAGATTTCTAAAAGTGATAAAAATAGCCACATGGAAAATGGGGAGAATCGCACCAAAAGAGAACATGCAACCACTCTCATCTCTTCTAGAAAATGTCTTTCTATGTCCCTGGTCATGGACTGCCTTCGTGCCAGGCACACTGAGCCCTGGGAGGCCGGGGCCGCCTTTCCCTCTAGACTCTGGTTCCATTCTCTCCCTCCTGGGTTTTCTTCCGCCTTAGAGTCAACACCTCTTCCATTGAATCTTCCTTTGTGGCTCTGAAGAACTGTTTTGGGGCCCAGCAGGCAACTTAGAACAGTGGGGAAAGCCCTGGGCTGCACTGTGGCCTGCACTGTGGTTCCTGCTCTAAGTCTATTCTCACCTGCAGGGGAGTGTGTGTGTTTAATTAAGGCCAGGATGCCTGGCCATGCCTCCAAATCAGGTTTAGGGTAGACCCTACCCCCAGGGGCACCTTGAGCAGGTTCACGTGACAGGTTTATAGGCGACTCCTGAGGACAGGAGCCGGGGCAGACAGTTATCATGAGGCTGCCTGCTGTCCAGTGACGGCCAGTCTCCTTTCATCCATCACTGCTGGCGCAGGACACAGTCGTCACCTTCCCTTGCACCACCTGCCTTGTCCCCTAGTCAGAGCCAGGGCTGTCACAGCCCAGGAGGGTAGCACCTGGCTCAGCCCCCACAGCCACACAGATGATTGAGGCCACACACCTGGGAGTCACTCTCAAGCCCTCACTCTCCTCCCCCAAGGCTAGCCGAAGTGCGGACTCAACCTCCCTCAGTCTCAGGGGTCTCTCACCCTTCTCCCTCTGCCACCCCTCAGCCCTGACTGCACCCCCACCACCTCTCCCCAGCAATGTGGCGGTACCCCCAACTGGTCTCCTCATGTCCAGCCCCTCCCTCCACTCAACAGCCAAAGAGATCTCACCATGCCAGGCTGACTTTCACATTTTCAATGCTTCCCTGGCTCCCCATACTCCTGGGCTGACATCTAACTCTATGATATGGTCCAGGACTTTGAGGCTGGAGTGGCCTGGCCTCCAAGCCTCAAGCCCTCCGTGCTTCCTGTGGTCCAGCCCTTTGCACAGGCTGCCCCAGCCCCAAGGGACTCTTTCCTCTGTGATGTCACTCCTCCCCTGCCACGCTGGCCAGATGCCCCCTGAACACAGGGCTCCACTCATCCTGAGCACATCCCAGAAGGTCAGATCAGTGTTCAAGCATGCTACTTTAGTCTGAGCGGTTATTGTATGTTTATTGAGTAACTACTATGTGCCAGGCACTTCTCTAGGCACAGGACATTCCATAATGAACAAGAAAGATGGGGAAAGAATGCAGCTCTCAATCTTTTAGGATGACAAGTAGTAAAGAAATTGACACCAATGTGTGTGCTATGGTGGTAGGTCATGTTCCGAGAGGGTTGTCAGGGACAGTGTCTCTGAGGACATGACAGCTTGAGTAGGGACAAATTAAGCAGGAACAAATGGTGTGGGCAGCTGGGGGAAGGGTATTCCTGGCAGAGGGAACAGCAAGTGTGAAGGCCCTGAGTTGTGCTTGGCCTGTTCGAGGAAGAGCAAGAGGGCCAGAGTGGGCCTCCTGACTGCTCCAGCTCAGAGGAGAGTTGGCTGGGAAGGGAGGGGCTGAGGCACAGGGTTGAACACATCCCCTGCCTTGCTCTCCCTTCTCCCGCCTCCTCCCCCAGCTGGGCAGCTCTTCTCTGGGGGACACAGATGGGTGCTTGTCTTGAGAGCCCCCTTCTCCCCCTGCTCCTCCAAACACTCGCAGTGGGGACAGGAAGTATCGGCTCTCGCCTTCCAGCTGCTCGGGTGGGACACCACTGAACTGGGCCGGGCTGCTCAGGAAGGGACAGAGGCCCTATTGAGCCTGTTCTCTGGACCATCAGGGACAATAGCCACACTGAGGACCAGGAACAGCGATCAGCATGCTTGCCCAGGAAGTTGCCAGGCTTCTGCCTGCCCCATCCCCATCCTCCCCTGCCCTCTGGCTTTCTCCTCCAGCTACTTCTCCCAGGCTGATGGTCATGTCCAAATGTCCACTTGTCCTTCACCTGCTCCCCAAAGTCCCCTGTCCTGTGCCATATCCACGCTGGGTCCAGGGAATCAGAGGGGAGACCTACAGGATCTCTGTCCCTGAGGACAGGGCAGGGAGGGAGGTGACACACGGACTGAGAGGGGTATATCCTAAGTGCTTCCTACAGAGATGCACAAGGTACGGGGGGTCCCTGGAGGGCAGGGGAGGTGTCTGCTAGGAGTGCAGGTTGGGAAAGCTCCCTGGAGGAAGAGTCATACTTCTAAAGAGCTCCCGCAGCCAGGGTCATGCCTTGAAGGCACAGCACCGAAGTGGCCCAAGCCAGGTGAGAGCTAGCCTCTGTTACAGGCCCAGAGGTGTGCAGAAGCAGTGGCAGGACTCAGGCTCTGTCCACCTCAAGCCCCTGTGCCGTCTATTTGTGGAACTATTTGCATTGGAAGGATCTTTAGGGATCATCTAGGCACAAGTCATATGTGCCTGCTTCCCCTGGCCGTGGCGGACCAGGAACCACGAAAATCACCCCATTCTTGCCAGTTGAGCTTGGACACAGCTGCAGAATCCCTCACACCACAGTGCTCTGGTGGCAGGTAACGAGCAGATGTGGGGAAGTATCTGCCTTTCCTGATTTTACTTTACCCTCCCCCCATCATGGATGGATGGAGAAACTGAGACCCAGGAAGGGAAAGGTCTTGTTCCAGGCCACAGAGCTTGTTGCTGGCAGTGTGTTGGAGCTAGGTCAGGGGCAGGAGGAGGTGACACACGCCCACCTTAAGGAGTTGAGGCTGTGAATCATCAGAGACCAGGAATGGTTGACTGCCCTGAACAGAGCTGCGGTGTGGCTTCCCACTCTGAAGAGGGGATCCCCTTTCTTCTCTGCCATGGCACCCCCTTTTTCATAGCTCTCATCACAGCTTTAATGATCTGAATGGGATACTTGCTTTTCTTTTCCTCCGTGCCTGGCTCTAAGTTCATGGGGCCAGGGTTGCATCCGTCTTGTTAACCACCCTCCTCCAGTGCCTCGTGGGTGCCTAATTCATTGTTGTCGAGGGCACATGTGGAGGGGAAGTAAATGCACACTGTGATTGATGCTTCAAAGCCTTCCCTGCTTTCTGGCTGGTGTTTGGCCTGCAGAGGACAAGCGGGATCCCTGGGGGCAGCTGGGATCCAGGCATCAAGCTGCTGAGACATGTGCCAGTACATGGTGAGCAACTGGCCTTAAGCCTGGGTAGTCCCTGAGCTCTCTGCAGGGAAACTGAGGCCCAGAGTGCTACAACAATGAACCAGGAGTCCCGCAGGCAGAGCAGGGAGCTAAGCTGGGGTCACCTGGCTTCTGTCCAGGCTTCTGGGCATCCAACCTTGCCACCAGCCTCCAAGTCTGTAGCTCAGGGGCTGACTTTTCCCGACAGCTGGGCCCACTGGGAGCTGTGTGTGGGTGCCAAGGCAAACATCAGTGGTGGAGGTGGGGGCAGGAGGTGCCTGCAGGCTCTGTGTTCCTTTGCCTTCCTGAACAGACAGGCCTGGAGCCCCTGAGCAGCCAGGCCTCCTGCTCCATGATCATTGTTCTCGGTGATAGTTTCCAGATGCTGAGGAGTCACAGGTTTGGGGCTGGGCCAGGAGAACCAGGCCAGCCCTCTCCAGCACCCCACGGCCACCGACACCACCATGGGTCCTGCTTTTCAATAGATGGCTCAGGTTCTCAGGCCCTCCCCAGACCTATTGATTCTGAGCCTCTGGGGCTGGGGCAGCAGTGTGCAATGTACCAATGCCCCGATGGTCCTGTGCGTGCTCTTGAGCGTGAAGAAAAGCTCATGCTCTAGAAGCAGGGGTTCGGGAGTCTGGAATCAGAAAGATGAGCACAGCTGTGTGGCTTCAGAGCAAGCCTTTGCTTCCTGCCAGGGAACGTGGACTGGTGCTCCCAACCCCGTGTGTGGTATGATTACTGTGCAACGGTCAGCCCGGCTCCCACGCCACTGAGTGCCCCTCTGGGACAGGCACTCCTTGGGGACAGGTCTGTACCCCAGCTGGTGCTCCACCCCATCAGCACTTTGAAGGCGCTGGCTCAGACCCTAGCAAAGAGGCCATGTGTGCGTGCACAGGTTGCAGGGTGTGTGTCCAACTTGCCTTCAGCAGGTGTGGAGGGGGCCCTGGGGTGGCCTAAGGGGCTTGGGGCACAGAGAGTGACAAGATGAACCCTGGAGTGAGGGGGCAGAGACCAGAAGGGTCCCTGCAGGCAGGACAGTCAAGGAGGCTTCTAGAAGGAAGTGCAGCTTCCACTGGATTTGGTTGGGAGACAAGGTGTGCAAAGGTGGGTGTGAAAACAACTACCACCAGCCAGCCCCTTCTCCTTCTCCTCCCTTCTCAGGGCACCAGCAGGATTATTGTCGTGTGGGGCTGTCCACAGACAAGGGCAAGGAGAAGGTCAGCGCTCAAGGCCATGCAGGAGGCATGCAGTGTTGGCAGCAGTGGGCCAGGCCTGGGTTTAGATCCCAGCTCTGCTGTTTCCTGGCTGTGTGACCTTGGGCAAATCTCTTACCCTTTCTGAGCCTTGGATTCCTCCTCTGTAGGGGTTATAGGGAGGAAGGAATGGCTGGTGAAGGGAACCCCACACATAGCAGAAGCTGTGAGGGTTTTAGGGACTGGGGCTCAGGCAGGGGAAGTGACCATTTGGGGACACCCCATCATTCTGCTTCCTGCAGAGCTTCCTGCACGGAACAGCCTCGCCTTTGGGGACAGTGGAGAAAGGTTAGTTTGGCAAAGTCTTTCCAGCCCCTTGGTGAAGAAGCAGGGTCAGCCAGGGTGGGAAGTGTGAGGCTTCCTTCCGCCCTGCGATCCCCTGGAAAAGTCACATAAGAGCAGCTCTTTCTCTGCAGAGGCCCCCACGCCCAGCTGAAGAACGCTGTGAGGTTTGTGCTGCACATATAGCACCTTGCAGTGACCACAAGGATCTCACACATGTATGCACGTGCACAAACACATTATATGTAGCTGCACCCCCTCCATACGGCTGGTTCTCTGATTTCCAATGCCAACCAACACCGTGGAACCACAGGAAGAGCTGGCAGATGCCTGCACTGGCCTCAGAAGCCCCTTAACTTCTGCTCTGCCTGGTTAAAGTTGCCACAGGTGTCCTTTGTACCTGTCCGTGGCCTCCCTCAGCAATGAGGGAATTGGGTAACAGCGAGAGACCATGGTTCAAAGCCTGCTGCTCATTTGCTCTGTGATCTTGGACAGGTGGCTTAACCTCTCTGGGCCTCCATCTCCTCACCTGGAAGTGGGATCACAATGAAGCTACTTACAGGTTCTGTGGGTAGCCAGCCCCAGCATGGGGACACTCAGCACTCTCAGCCCCTGTCTGTGGTTGTGACAGTCTCTTAAGCACTGTGAGCTCCAGCGTTCACCCAGAGATGGAAAGTTTGCTTCTCTTTCTACCCCCAGCTGGCCAGATGAGGAGATCGAACCCCAGAGAGAGGAGGTGATTTATGTGAGGGTTTTGCGAGGCTGAAAGTCAGGCCCGCAGCCTCTTGCCAGGCAGCCATGGGGGCCCCAGCCCCTGGGCTCCTGCCAGAGTGGCCCCAAGCTGCTGACTTCAGCATTTCACTGGCCAGGGCAGATCAGATTTCTTTTCTGGCACTTGGCCACCCTGCACACCCTTCCCCCATTGCTATTTTGAGCTGAGCTCCCCTGTCCCCTCCTCCCAGTGTTGTGGCCCTCACACCCAAAGCCTCACTCCAGGCTGAGGCCTTCCCACCTCTTGACCTACCACTTTTCCTCCAGCCAGGAAAGGCCAGGCTGGTCATGGCCATGTCTAGCCAGGACTTGCCAGGGATGGCTTCAGACATATAGCCAGGGGCCAGCTGCCCTATGCAAATGGCACTGGTAGCTTAAGGCAGACACTCAGGATGCTCAGCGCAGCCCGAGAGGACATCCTGGGAGCGGACAGAGCCCACAGCAGGATCAGCCCCAGCACTGCCACCTCCTACCCATGCGACCTCCACCCCGTCCTCAACTCCGCAGTCCCCCTGACAC